GTCTTTTTAAAATAAATGTTTGTACATTATTATTTTCTGGAAGGAGCTTTGACAAAACTCGTTATAATTGCTAAGGGCGTCTCCAATGGTTAGCTATTTGGCTAACTATTATGACGTGGACAGGGGAAAAGTAAGAGAGAGAGTAGTCACTAGCTACTAACAAATAGCTTATCTATTTCACGTAGCCCAAGATTATGTGAGAGGAGTATGTGGGTCCAATAATGTAAAATAGTTATTTTTCTTATCTCTCACATCCACGTCAGCTAACCATATAGCTAGTAATAACTATTACCATTGGAGATGTCCTAATGCTAATGTTGCAGGGAAAATAGTGCAGTCCACGGTCGAAGAATGTCGAGAAGCTTATGCTGCTTGGATTGATCTGGTACTTCCATTTAAAAAAAAAATAAAAAAATAGAAAAGAAAGTATATTAGTCATCCTTGCTTTAGGTTTCAACATCTAAATGTTATTTGGACCAGGCACACCAAGTTTTGAAACAGAAGAACCTAGAGAAGGAAGAAGGTAAATTATACATCTCATCTGCAACTGTTAGAATTTGTTCGACCTGATACAGCTGTGCAAATTCTATATTTTGTGAACAATAAATATTCTAGGATTTATTCTTATGTTTCTATGAATTATTTTTACCTCCCTTTTTCAGGAGGTTCTGCGTCTAACTCGGTCCCAAACAAGCAAGTTCAACTGGAAAATCAAGAAATTACTCAGCTGCAGCGTGTGGAGTATCAGTCGAGTGATGTGAGAACATCAGAAATCATACCTGAAGTGCCCATCAGGAATCTAATAAATGAAATTCCACAACCAAACGTTAGCAATGCAACGAGTGGGTCTCTTTTAAGGGATGTGATGACCAAAGCCTTTGCACCTTTTAAGCATCAGAACACGTCATCTCTACTCCTGATCATTTCTATTGCCGTAATTCTCCTTTTAATGCAGGTAAGCTCGATGAATTTCATCTTTGATTCACACCATGCACGTCACTGTTGTACTACATTTATTCTCCTTGGAGTTTTTAAGCTCGTCATTCTTCTTTTTTTTCCCCCTTTTTTTTTTTGAAGAACCGTTTTTCTTTTGTTTTATGGTTCAGATGAGCATTCTTGTGTTATTAAGTCGGCCCCAGAGGATCCTGGTAGTCCCTCCGCAGGGTGATTTTGGGCACCGAACGAGCGAAAATGGTCGGGAAGCAATGGCATTATTGAATAAGCAGATTATGTATCTCAAGGAGGAGTTGCATTTTGTGGAGACAATGCTGGATAAGATGCAGAATGAGCACTCCCAACTCATGGCCAAGTTGAAGGATTTGGAGCTATTTAGGAATCAAAGGCTCTGATGGTGATGGTGATGAATATATTTGCTGTCCACTTTTCGACTGGTGTTTTTTTTTTT